GGAAGTCGAACAACTTTCCCATAAAAAATGGTAAAGATAGATTTCCTTACCTACTCGAGTGATGACCCGATCGTATGGCTCAATCGAGTTGAACAATTGTTTGAATTTCAGAGGATCGAAGAGGAACACAAGAACTCCTTCACCGCGTTCCACCTCGATGGGGAGGCCAACCAATGGTGGCTCTGGCTGCAACGCGCATATAGAGAAGAAGGGAGGACCATCACCTGGACCGGGTTCGTTAATGAATTATGGGCCCGCTTTGGGCTGACCGAAGGGGAAGACTGTGATGAGGCCCTTTCACGTAGACATGCCCACTGAGGGATTACCAACAGGAATTTGAGAGGCTCGGCAACAGAGTGCATGGATGGACCCAAAAAGCCCTCGTTGAGACCTTTATGGGCGAGCTCAAGCTTGAGATTGCGAATGAGATCCGAATGTTCAGGCCCAGTTCCCTGAAAGAGGCCACTAGCCTAGCCCGAATGCGTGAAGACCAACTGGACCGGCAGAAGCACGTCAATCGGATTGGGTGAAGTCTGCCTGCCCCGAACCCGAGCATCCCCAACGGGTCACGACCTCAAACCCTAGCCACCACAGCTTATGCACCAAAACACATCTCCTGGGAAGAGATGCAGTGCCGCCGCCCCAAGGGCTTTGCTTCAATTGTGATGAGAAGTTTACGATAGGTCATCGATGCTGCAAACCTCAGCTACTTTTGCTTGTCAGGGATGAGGAAAGGGGAGAGGAAGGAGAAGAGGCTGCGTTTGAAGAGCCCGAAATCTCTCTGCACGCTATCACGGGTTGGTTTTTGGTTCGCACCCTGCGTGTTCCAGCCACTATCCAGAGACAGAAAGTCGTGGCCCTAATTGACAACGGGTCCATGCACAATTTTATTAGCGATCAGATCGCTCAACGATTGTAGCTCCTTGTGGTGTCGAGTGCTTTATTCCTGGTCAAGATGGCGAACGGGCAACAATTAAAATGTCAAGGAAGTTTGAGAATGTTAAGGTCACCATCTAAGGTATGTCTTTTATTATGAATATGTATTCATTACCACTCAGTGATCTTGATTTGGTATTGGGTACATATTGACTTGAATAATTAGGATCGGTAATCAGTGATTGAAAAAAAATGAGTATGGAATACATCTGGAATGGGTAGGCGAGAGTTTTGCAAGGAGAGGTGGATCGGCCGCATCAGTATATAACAGATAAAGAACTAAGACAACCTCACGCTCTCTTTTCCATCAGTATATAGGAACAATCAGTTGAGGGGGTGTCCATGATCGAAGGAGATATTTAGCTACTGTTAGAGGAATTTGAAGACATTTTTCAAGAACCCACTTCGATGCCTCCAACAAAGGAGATTGACCATCGGATTACATTGAAGGAGAGGTGGAACCAGTAAATGTTTGGCCCTATCGATATGCTTATTTTTAGAAGGCAAAAATTGAGTGGCAAGTGCAAAGTATGCTGGGTATGGGAGTGATTAAGCCTAGCATCAGTTCGTTTTCATCACTGATTTTGCTTGTCAAGAAAAAAGATGAGACTTGGAGATTTTGCATCGATTACTGAGCCTTAAATGCAGTCACTGTCAAGGACTGTTTTCCAATTCCAACGATCGACAACATGATGGACGAATTGTACAGTGCTACATTCTTCACCAAACTTGATTTAACATCTGGTTATCACCAAACAAGGGTCCATTCCACAGATACTCCAAAGACAACATTCAGAACTCACAACAGGCATTACGAATACCTCATAATGCCTTTCGGCCTTTGCAACGCTCCATAGACCTTCCAGACCATTATAAATACCATCTTCCGATCACACTTGAGAAAATTCATCTTAGTTTTCTTTGATGATATTCTGGTATATAACCCCGATCGAGCTGCTCACTTGGAGCATCTACGCTAAACTTCTGAGATATTACGACAACATAAGTTTTATGTTAAACAGAAAAAGTGTGTTTTCGGGCAGCAAGAATTGAAATATTTATGGCATATTATCACACCATAAGGGGTCAAGGTGGATCAAAGAAAAATTCAAGCTATGGTAGACTGACTTAAACCAACATCTATTATTGAATTACGAGATTTCTCGGGTTCACTGGGTACTACCAAAAATTTGTACTCAATTATGGAATATTGGCTAGACCCCTTTACTCAACTACTAAAAAAGGGACAGTTCAAATGGACGGATGAGGCAAAAAATGCCTTCATATGCCTTAAGCAAGCCATGACCTCTACACCAACTTTGGTTATCCCAAACTTTAATCAGCCTTTCACCATAAAAACAGATGCCTCAAGGAAAGGGATTGGGGCCATCCTCACCTAGCAAGGGAAGCCCATCGCCTATATGAGCCGAGCCTTAGGGGTCACCAAACAAGCTTGGTCAAGTTATGCTAAGGAGATGTTAGCCATAGTGGTCGCTGTTCAAACTTGAAGACCATATCTATTGGGTCACAAATTCATCATTCAAACAGATCACCAGAGTTTAAAACACCTACTGAATCAGCATGTCACCACATTAAAGCAACAAAAATGGATATCCAAGCTTTTTAGATACGATTACGAAATCACCTATAAACCAGGGAAGGACAACAAAGCAGCGGATGCCCTGTCTAGGCAACATAAAGGGCCCTCCTTGGATGCTCTGTTTGCATGTGAGAATCATATTTGGAATGATATCAAAGACACATCCGAGAACCACCCCTACATGAAGAGAATAGGTAAGTTGGCAGAAGAGAACCCCGGTAGACCATATTAGTGGAGGAATAGGTTCTTACACAACAAAAACCGTGTCATCATTCCCACAGAATCTAAAGTCATCCAATAATTACTACAAGCTTTTCATGATTCCCAATTAGGAGGGCATTCCGGAGTCCTAAGAACATACAAACGCTTGGCTCAGCAATTCTACTGGCCAACTGTGAGACAGGTAGTACAACGATACGTGGCAGTGTGTGAGGTCTGCTAAAGAGCCAAAGCCGAGACCTTGGCCCCAGTCGGGTTGCTTCAACCGCTGCCTATACCATGCCAAGTTTGGGATGACATCTCCATCGATTTCATTGAAGGGTTACCAAGCTCTCAAGGGAAAGATACAGTTTTGGTAGTTGTAGACGGATTGAGTAAATTAGCACACTTCTTAACTTTTGACACATCCTTACACTGCTAAAACCGTTGTCGACAGATTCGTAGAAGCCATAGTCAAGCTCCATGGGATGCCAAGAACAATTGTAAGTTACCGAGATCCCATCTTATCAGTAATTTTTTGAACGAATTCTTCAAGATATTAGAGACATAGCTAAAAATAAGTTCAATGTAGCACCCTTAAACGGATGGGTAAATGAAAGTTGTAAATCGATGTTTTGAGCAGTACCTGAGATGCTTAGCTCACCAGCAGCCACGCAAGTGGTGTTCACTCCTTCCATGGGCAGAATTTTGATATAATACCACAGATCATTCATCCATTGGGATGTCACCGTTCCAAGCCCTTATGGACGACCTCCTCCCAGCATTCCGTTCTACCAAAAGGGCATGACAGTAGTGGATGACATTTACCAAAATTTGACAGAACAGAATGAACTCCTCCAGCAATTCAAAGCTAACCTACATGCAGCCAATAACTGTATGCAATAAACCACAAACACCAAGAGACGCCACCTTGAGTTTCAAGAAGGAGATTGGGTCTTTTTGCATCTCCAACCATGCCGCCAGCAAATGGTTTTTAAGAGGGCCCTACAGAAGCTGGCATGCCAATATTACGGACCCTATCAGATTACTCAACGCATCAGCCCGATAGCATACAAACTCGAACTTTCGGAAGGGTCCTGCATCCACCCGATTTTTCACATCTCATTGCTTAAACCAAAGGTTGGAGATTTTCCCCTGCCAGTTCAGGATCTGCCAGCGGCTACAGAAGACGGAAACATCATCTTTCATCCAGAAACCATACTCGACACGCTGGGTAAAAAGAGGATCTAAGCTGGTTGAAGAAAGCTTAGTAAAATGGAAAAAAATTGCCAGCAGAAGAGGCCACTTGGGAGATCACACAGAACCTGATGGAACAGTTTGCTTCATTGAAACCTGGGGACAAGGTTCTTGCCCAAGGGAGGGGCGATGATAAGCCCCAGAGATCGCTGAGATAGCCTCGCCAAAACCCGAAATACATGGATTAAATTATCCGCGGATTTCACCAGATCAATAGAAACAAGCAAGAGGAAGCAGTCAGCAGAGCAGAAAGAGTTAATCAGAAAATCCAAAGAATAACTGCTTAGTTAGGATTTTAGTCGTTACTTAATTTTTGCGAATTTTCTTTTGATTTTGCTTCATCGTGTAACGTAGATATAGGATTTCAGTCAACTTTTCATGTATTTAAGGGCAAGTGCAGATGAATAAAAGACAAATCTTTTTATCCCCAAGAAAAATCTCACAAGTGCTGTTTCTCACTTCAATTTGAAACAACTCTCTCTCTCTCTCTCTCTCTCTCTCTCTCTCTCTCTACTGTAGTTGTGACTCTCTCTGATTGGGACCTATCAGCTGGATCCTGATCATTGATTTCGGAAGGGAAGATAACAGAGAGATCAGTTTAGAGATGGGTTTTGCTCTTAGTGGCTTCAGAGTTGGGTGCAGAGAGAGGCACAGAGAAGCCTTTTTGTTTTTGAACTTCCTCAGAGGCATCTTTTGATTGCTAACAAGAAGAATTAGACGAAGAAAATGGTGGATTTACAGGCCCTAGAGAGAAGACGAGAGAGAGAGAGAGAGAGAGAGAGAGAGAGAGAGAGAGAGAGAGAGAGAGAGAGAGTTGATTCTGCCAGCTTCATTCTCTCCGGTTCCTTCTCTCTTTCCTTCGGGTGTGGATATATAGCGTTGGCTTAACGACGTCGTTTAATGATATTAATTGAAAGTATTATCTAAAAATAATATGAACAGAAATATGAAGATTTAAACTGAAAAATTTGAATTAAGACAATGGAAAAAGAAAGAAAGAAAGAAGAACCTGATGGCGATCTTCTTATGATCATCAACAAGAACATAAGTAGATTTATCCAAGTAACCCACAAAGAAAGTTAAAACGATGTCGATGGCGAAGAAAAAGTCAACCACCAAGTCAATATACATGAGAGCTCCTGTTGCTGCTCTGTTGAATGCTAACTCAAATGGAGTTGCCCAGGCGGAGTACACAACCAGTACTACCAGAAATGTCTCCCATAACCTGCGCATATACATACACACATATACAATCACACACACAAATACATACTAGACACATACACTTTCTATTAAAAACAAAGAAGAAAAAGGAAAAAGTACCTGTATCTGCGATCATACGGAACGATCAGATATTTCTTCTGAACATGGCTTTCATCAATCACTGTTCCAAACGCCGGTAATAAGCTGCTCGAAATTGATGTTATGTTCTTTATTTCACCACTCGATCGTCGCCGGAACAGCAATGGAAGCGGTGATCGAGTTTCCGATAATGACGTCATTCTCCGGTCACAGATCACCACCTCACTCAACCTACCTTCCTTCCTTCTTGATCTGTATATAGAGATTAAACATTAATCAATGATATATATGTATATATATTGTACTACCAGTACTCTTCTTGGTTTCTCAACGTAATTAATTAATTAATTTTCTAAATATTTAAATTATTACATAAATATAAATATTAATTTAATTTAACCCGCCGATTACTAAATTAGGGATATACCATCATGATTATATATACTATTCTTTTTTGTCATTATTATGCAGTTCTTCATTACGACAAGTATGAATAATGTTATCAACAATTAAAATATTAACTTGGAAAAACTCAAAGTCAGAAACCCTTTATATATATATATATATATATATATTACTATTAGATATATGCTATCACGTTATGCCGTTAGTGTACATGTTTCCTTCATTTTTAGTTATTTCAACAATATAATTATTCCACGCAAGAGAGGAGAAATTTTTTTAGTTGTTTAGTTACATAATAAAGTATATACATATATATTTTTACTGTATAAAATTATATTTTTTGATGATACTTCTCTGTAATGACTTACTGGAATTTGGTTGCTTCCATTCGCCACTTTATGAAGGTGGCGAATGGAAGGGTTGACTTCATATTTTTTATAAGAACTAACAAATCTCTGTAAGAAAATACAAGAGAGATACAGAAGATTAAACCTAATAGGATTTTTGTGTGTCAACTATTTTAGAGAGCTGGAAATGATAACAAAGAAAATTGTGGTGTGCCTATGCAGCATACATGTTTTAACGCTTCTCAATTAAACCTACTACTACATGTATATATACAACAATACAGATGCATACCATACGTGGCTCCATCAAGACCGCACATCCCATTTTTCTCACTATTCATGGGTTTAGGTAAACGAACTCTATGGCCCTAAAATCCATTAACACAATGAGTTTTTAGATAGATAGTTGGAAGATTTGTAAAACATAATTGATAAATTTTATTTCTTTTTCCAAAAAAACTTAAACAAAATTTAAAAATGTATCAGTTACATCTATAATTGCTTCTTCTCTTCTTTGCTTCCTTGCACAATATTTGTTTTTATTCCAATAAAAGTTTTTTGACTGTCACCACAATTCTATATGAGAAGATTTTGATTCTGCAACGTAAAATCTCTTTATAATCAACTATAACAATGTTATTTGTACATGAGATGCTAAGAGTACCATTATTATTAACTCTTCAAATGCCGGCTGTGTTAAGACGACAAATTAAAATAGGTGGAACTGATATATATAAAATATCATGCAACATTCACCAGCTTAGACTATAAGAAACAAGTTTTGCCTTCATATAAGGACGGATTTTCTAATCCACTGAATTAAAATAGCTGCTGAATTACTAGAGGAATAAATCATGTGGTAGCTTTGAGTAAAAAAAAACATTCAGGAGAGTTTTGTATAGATACATCAACTCATCATCCATGCCAACTAATCTATTATTTTAAGAGGCCTAACTGATAGAATCCTGGTATGATTTTAAAATTATAGGACAGTTACTTTTAATGGAAAGAGAATAAGAGGCAGAAACTTAGCTCATAAACCTTAAAATTAATCCAATTTAGGATTTACAATTATAGATGTTTATTCTTAAATTGAAATGTCCAATAATCTTAGTTTTAAATCAATTGACTCATCTACAAAAATAGACGGAAGGAATATATTAGATCTACAAGGATAAGCAGATTCAGAAACCAATAAAATGACTTTCAGAAATATGAAATGAGATTTTATGTTTATCTTGACATGTAAAATCATAATATAGTTTCTATGCTTTCAACCAATTTCATTCTCATTCTCACTTTAGTTCTTATTTACATAGTAAAAGATGAGAGAAGCGATTTGAATATAACTTTATCATATCAATATTAAATCAAATTGCTTTTCAAACTACACTCTCACAGACTCATCCTGCAGCTTACTCGCTCGTGGTGGAAGACTGTTTGGTGCATATTTCATGTATATCAGTATCATACGTGAACTAGTCGATGAACGAAGTCGAAAACCAAGAATGAAAACTCACTTATTGCACAGCTATAGTTTTTTTTTTTGTTCGGCCAGTTCTCATGCTTCAGACAAGCAATCAGCGGAGAGGGAGAAACCCACAACCACGCCATGAGTTAAAAAAACTAAAACCGTTGCTGCATCTCCTATATCCAATACAATGCATGCAAAGAGACAATACAATAGCAGCACTTGCCAGAACTAGCACCTCCTATATACATACAACTCCATATGTTATACAAGCAAACTTTGATGGCGGATACTTTTCTCTATGCATTCTTGAAACTTGCGGCAGTAATTAGTTAAGTCCAGCCCTTGAAGCCAACCAGGTAGAGTGTAACTGCAGCAGAAAAAATGGCAGATACAAAGTGTGATGTTACACGAGAAAATAACTGGAAACAGCAGAACCAGATGCATGAAACTGGCATATGCTTCAACAGGCTATCTGCAGAGTTTGGCTTTCATTCAAAAATCCTGCAAATATGGATCTTCAACTTCCCCATGCAGTAAAATTCCTTAACAGCTCTCTGATTTCTTAAAGAATTCCTGATCAGATCCAAGCAGTCACGACTTAATTTGAAATGACAGTGTTCTTTTTCCCCAGCAACAAGTTACATGTATTGGGCCAGCCACTGTTTGCACATATCAAGAACAGGGAGTGCATTTGCATGCAAAGCTTGATGAGCTACATATTGGACGTCAGCCACACTTCCACTTCTAGAAGCGATTTGAAAAGCACTTTTTAGACGACCACAGACCACACAAGCCAGCACTTTCCTGAAGGAATGAGTTAAAATAATTATGTATCTATTTTTCATAAGATAATTTTGAAAATCATATAAAATATAAATGTTATATATGATTATATATAAATTATAGCAGCTAAGAATAAGTAGTAAGCCATTTCCATTGTGCCGCAAATAGATCCATGATTTTTATTAGCAACAAGACAGTCTCAACATATTCAAACCTATTAAAGATAGCCTATTATATGTAAATTAAGTTAAAGGACACTAGGATAAAATACAGCCTATATAATTAATTGTTTATTTCCTTCTTTTATTCTAAAAAATCTGTGTATATAAGTGTGATATTAAATGTATATTTAACTATTCTCAACATGGTACTAGAATTCTAGGAAAAAACTCTTGGCCTCCCTCATAAAACCAGTCTTTACTGTGGAAATAAGACAAAAAGACTGGTAGAAAAAAAAAAAATCTTTGGCATGCAAATGAATGTTCACAATCAAATACAACGCAGATAAGACAGTCGAGAAGTATACAACAAGACTAGTTGCAAAAGGCTACACATATTTATGGGATAAACAACTAAGAAATATTCGCACTAGCGGCCAAGAAAAACATATAGCGAATCTTATTGTCTTTAGCTGCCTACTTTGATTGGCAACTGCAACAATCCGATATGAAAAAGATACTGTCCTGCGTAAAGATTCAGAAGAAATCTACATGGAGAATTCCACCAGGTTTTGCCAACGAAAAATGACCAAATAAAGTTTGTAATAGGGAGAAGGATTACAAGAATAGCTTAGGGAAAGCAGGTCCAACAACTAACGGAAAAGCCGCTTACCCCACTAACACGCTACCGATACTACAAATAGAGATGTTACACCGATGGGTTCAATCACTGAAAGAAGAAAAAAAAGTCACCCCTTTCCTTTCTTTCATTTGGTGATCTTTCTCGATTTCGGAATGGAAAAGGTTTTTTGCATTGAATAAAGCACTCTATAGCCTCAAGCAATTGCCTAGAATATGGTTTGGTAGATTTATAAGGGTGACGATAAGGTTGCGATATAAGCAGGCTCAAGGAGAGAACAATTTGTTTATCCAACACTTAGAGACAGAGTGAATTATATCATTCCTAGTATATGTTGATGGCGTTGTTACAACAAAAGATGATGTAAAAGAAAATTTGATGCTAAAACAATTCATGACAAGAAAATTTGAAATCATGGAGTTGGATGAATTGAAGTATTTCTTTAGAATTGAAATCATCTACTAAAAATTGAATATCTTCATATTTCAACAAAAATATATTCATGACCTCTTAAGAGATACTGGCAAACTAGCATATAAACCAACTAGTACTCCTACTAATCTCGATAATAAATTGGACTCGTAGAAAAAGATACCAATAGACAAAGAGATGTATTAGAGATTAGTTGAGAAACTGATACATCTGTCCCACAAAGAACATATATCATCTATACAGTAAGTATTATAAGTCAGTTCATGCACAATGCTAAAGAAGTTTACTTATAGACAGGCAACAAATGTTGCATTACCTAAAAGATCATATGAGAAAAGGGTTTTA